CTGGATCAACAATCTATATTGAGCATGTCAAACTCAGCACAGACCACATAAGAAAGGTTTAAGTTTATGTGGGCCGCAACAACAAAAAAAAACCTTAAATTGTCATAGAAACTTAGTTTTATTTTAAAAAGTACAGTATAAAAAAAAAAACAGCATCCCCCCCACTAAACCACAGCACCCCCCCTACTAAACCACAGCACCCCCCTTTACCACCCTGTGCCAAATCTGACACGCACACACACACACACATATTTACAGACAGACACACACACACTGACAGACAGACACACACACAGACACACATATACTCACTGACAGACACACACAGACACACACATACAGATACACATACTCACTGACAGACACACACAGACACTGACAGACACACACATACTTGCTGACAGACAAACACATACTTGCTGACATACTCACAGACAGACATACTCACTGACAGACACATACTGACAGACACTTGCACACACGTACTTTTCTTTATTGCTCCCTCGCACGGTTTAGTGATGCTGGGTGCCGGAGTATGATGTCATATTCCGGCGCCTGGATTCACTTCAGACGGCGCGCGCGAGGGAGCAGTGAGGAGCAGGAACACTGAGCTCCCTCGCTGGCCCTCCTCCCCGGCCGGGTTAGTGTTAGCAGAATAGGCACCTACAATATGGGGAAAGCAGATGCCTACTCTGCTATAACACCAGCATGTACTCGCGGCTCGCCGGGCCGCAAAGATGGTCCTTGTGGGCTGCATGCGGCCCGCGAGTTTGACATGATTGATCTACACGCGTGTCCTTATATTCTTAAAGGGACAATATAGTCACTAAAGCAACTTTAACTTAATAGAGCTTGTATCAGGCTCTCCCGATTAAGATTATGAAAACTGATTTAGCACCCCTTCAAAGCGCCATTGGTTCATTTATATGGCAGAACAAGAGGCACAGGGTCTCCAGAAATGTTCTCTACCGCCCTAAAACGAGAGGTAGTTTGGGTCTCACCTTTACTATTATTATTTAGCGGCGCAGCTTACACAGATAGCGATGTGGCATAAGCTCTACGGAATCTGTTGGCGCTATATAAATGGCAATAATAATAATGTACCAGTGGATTTTAGGAAATTTGGAGTCCTTAATGACAGGAGCCGACCTCCCCCAATACTACATGTGGGTTCCTAGAGAGAACAGAGAGATATTATGTTCCACGTGCCCAACAATACTTAGGCCAACTTTAGATACTGTTGCATCTGAGATTCTATCTTCCTCCCCGTCTCCTATCACTCCGATACTCAGAAACAGAGCGATCCCTCCAGGTATGTCAGCCCGGGACTTCCAAAATATAGGACGGGCAGGTCTCCAGAGATATTGTCATTTATACGAAGTAGGTCAGATAGTGACACCATGAAGAATCATACTAGACTTACCACGGCTGCCTTTTTTGTTGTTGATATTTACAGATTAGGGATTACGCAAAGCAGACGTGTGAAAGAAGCTGCGCAACAAACAATTGACTTTTTATGAAAGTTCTGAATAAAAATCCCCAGAGAGGCCTCATAACCTTATTATATGCCTATCTGTGCACAGAAATGGGGGACTGGTGGCATCTGAACTACATTTGTCAATGGGAAGCAGACTTGGGGGAGGTGCTAGAGGCCATCGACAGGCAAGATATCTGGGAGGCAGCTGCATCTTCCTCTATATGAGTTATGTTGCAAGATCAATGCTATAAGACTATGTTTAGGTGGTATACTACTCCAGTAAAACTTTATCACATGAACTAAACTAAACTGACTTGTGCTGGAGGGTCTGCGGCCTCAAAGGCACATACCGCCATATGTGGTAGGAATGCCCCCAGATTAGATCACTCTGGACCCCAGTGGGAGACGTTTTGGAAAACCTCTTTAACAGACGGCCGGACCTAACCCCATGGGTATGCCTCTTAAATAGGCCATTAGATGGGTAGACACGACCAGAACAAACTTTACTGCAGAAAGTCACCCTAGCAACCAGACGGGCTGTGGCCCAGGCCTGGCTATAACCTACTGTTCCTTCCGTTCCGCAGGTTCTTGATAAACTTGGGGACACCTGCCTGATGGACAAACTAACAGCGCAAGTGAGGAACACGGTCCAAAAGTTTGAGAAAATATGGGAGCCCTGATTCTCTAGCAGCCTTGTGTACTGAGGTGGGACGTGAGCAGGGACTGGTGGAGAGTGGTAAAGAGGAGCCGATGAATATGGCCCTTGCCCACTTCCTCGTCTCCCTCCCTCCTCCACACCGTTGCTCCTTCTCCTTCCCCGGCAGGTGACCAATACTTCCTTTTCCTTCTTTTTCTTCTTCTGTCTCTCTGAGATGGCGCGTATAAATACCTTCCAAGGGATTTTAGGCCCTAGGACAGTTCTGGTGACCTATCACTAAGTTTATGTATAAATAGGGGCATACATTCTCAGGATGAAAATATAATTTTGCCTCTTTATAAATCGCTGGTAAGACCACACCTTGAATATTCTGTGCAATTTTGGGCACCTGTTCTAAAGAAGGATATCATGGCACTGAGTGCAGAGACGAGCTACAAAATTGCTAAAAGGAATGGAGCATTTTAGTTACAAAGAAAGGTTAAAAATGTAAATCTCTTTAGTTTGGAAAAACGGCGCCTCAGAGGGGATATGATAACATTATACAAATATATTCGGGACCAGTACAAACCATTATCTGGAAATCTATTTATAAACAGGGCTATACATAGGACACGAGGTCACACATTTAGGCTGGAAGAAAGGAGATTTCTTCTAAGGCAAAGAAAAGGTTTTTTTTACAGTAAGAACAATAAGGATATGGAATTCTCTGCCTGAAGAGGTGGTTTTATCAGAGTCCATACAGATATTTAAACTGAAATTGGATAAATACTTGCAAAAACACAACATACAGGGATATAATTTCTAATTAGTGAGGTAATGGCTGCTTGATCCAAGGAGACATCTGACTGCTATTTTGGAGTCCAGAAGGATTTTTTACCTAGTTTGTTGCAATCTCACCTTACAGTCTGGTTTGTCTGGGAGGGCTGAAGCCAGAAGTAGCGTGGAAAACATGAAGCTGGGACTGGCCTATCTTCCTAGCATTTTGCTACACTTACCTGAACTCGTGAAATCCCTCTGCATTCCGGCTGGGGGGCCAACCCGGAGTCATCCGGAATGGGAACTTGCTTGGCCCCTGCAGGCTTACACTCCATGTTCCCACCTGACAGGCAACGGCAATGGTTCCAACTCACCTATACTTGATGTGAAGCAGTGGTATTACCCTTTTTTTGGGTAAAGTTATTTTACTTATTGTTTCCTTTACTCTTCTCCATATCTGGCTTATCTCTATGGCTTTTCAGGGGGCCGCCTGGGGGGGGCCTTCCTCTCCTTAAAGTGTTGTCATGTTTCCAACCATGGGCATTGAGCCCGTAACCTTTCTCAGTTTCTGCATCCAGTGCTTTTACCTAGCATTTTACCTTGGCAATTTCTTAGAAATGTGGCACTGTGTTTTTTCCAGCATGCCTATTATCAGGGGCGGACTGATCACTCAGGCAAATCGGTCATGGGCCGAGAGCCCGCCCGCTGTGCAGTATAGTAATGGCTAAGCTGGGGAGTTAAACAAGCTCCCCAGCCAGCCGGCCCTAAGTGGGTGGCTGTCTATTACTAAAGAAGTTCCCCCCTTGGTCGGCAGCCTAAGCTTACTGTGAGCAGAGTGATCATTTGTAGCACACAGAGATACAGCCAAGGGACCTTATCAAAGACCCACCAGGCTGCCTGTCACTGTGCCTGTCTAGTGCAGCATGCGGGAAGAACATTTTTTACAAACATTTAAAAATTCGACAGAGGTTTCAGGAGCAGAGCCTCTGCCGTGAACTGAACAAAGCATGCAGGCTGACTGTAACTGATCAGAGCAGCCCTGTGCAGAGCTACTCTATCAGTGATACAGGCAGCATGCCCCTTAATTCTATGGCCGACCAGGGAAGGAGCTCTTCAGACCACTTGCATGGCGAAGAGGAGGTTGGACTGTCTGCACCCACCAG